AATGTGTTAAAAATAGTTTGAGAACCAAAAACATTTAAAATACAAAGTTTGAACTTTGAAGACTAAAATTGACATTCAACCATCATTACATTTAACCGTCATTTTCTATAACATATATAAATAATAATTGAAAAATCTTTCTACCAAATGAAATTATACCAAATGAAAATATGCAGCATAATAGTAATTTTCATTCATATATTATACAAAAACAACCTTAAGAATTGAATCTACTTATGATTTTTCTCGGTCAAATTCAAATTTCAAGTTTTAGTACCAAATTAATGTTTGAGTATACTTTAAACTCGATGTGCATGTAAAACTAAAAAATACTATACAAAAACATTGCTGCAAAACAAAGAGGCGAACTGTGAAAGTGAAACGGATGTAGTATTAAATGTTACTTCTTTTTGTCCAAGATAACTCTGATTCAAAATAACTATTATTTTTATTCGAAATTTGTTTTAAATTAAGGGTTTTTTTAACTTGTATCTTAAAAATATAAATTAAGAGTTATGAAAAAAAACATTTAATTTTTTAACTATTTAATTAAATTTATTCACGTAATATTGAGTCTCAAATTAATATTTACTTTATATTTTTTTATATAAATTTATTCTAAAAATATGGTCTTAATATGTGCTTTAAAGATACAAATTAAAAAAAATTTTAAATTAATTGTCTAGATTTTAAGAAGGTAAATATTTTTTCTACTTTAATACTTTAATTATACCTTAATTTTAACTATCCACCACGTCACTAAATTTTTTTCTTTTTAAGGATAATAAAAAAATTAAATAAAAATAAATGAACTGTCCCTAGATTGTTAATATGTCTAAAATGTCATAAAACAACAGTTAGTTCGAGAGTGCATGGAGTACAAGAGTTACTAACGGTTCCAAAGTTTGTTTAATATTTTTTTTACATTAAATGATAAATTATATAATAATAATAATTTTTTTTGTTATTCTTTTACACTTATCTCAAAATTTAAATTTAAGATTTAAATTTAAGATTTTGAATTTTAAAAATTTAAATTCATTAAGGGAAAAACCCTCTAGTGGTTTAATTTTGGCAGAATACTCAAATCCACCCCCAAAGTATAGTGGCAGGGATGGATCCACCTTCGAACAAAAAACGGGGACAAATCCACCCACAAAGTTTTTGATTTGGACAAATCACTCCAAATTTAATGTGTGACATCATTTGACATCAGCAATCTGTTAATTTGATGTCATCTGACGTCAGCAATTCGTTAACGAATTAACAAATTGCTGATGTCAAATGACGTCATACGTTAAATTTAGAGTGATTTGTTCAAGTCGAAAATTTTGTGGATAGATTTATCCCCTTTTTTGTTAAAGGGTGGATCCGTCCTTACCACCATACTTTGGAGGTAGATTTTGGTATTTTGCCTTTAATATTCTCCTAAAAGAAGTTTGAAATACCAAAACAAGTGGGCTGCACTCTCAAATTCACCTCTTAACTAGAGGACAAGGATAAATTCGTTTTTCAAAAAAATACAAAAATAAATTATTTTTTTTAATTATAAATCAAAATAAATTATTTATTTTTTAATTGTGATATTAATTTTTTATTAAGAAATACTTACATGACAAATTAAATTTTAACATCACACATTAAAAAATAAGTAATTTATTTTAATTTATAATTTAAAAAGATAATTTATTTTTATCCTTTTTTTAAAAATAAATCTATTTTTACTTTTTATTTATAACGTAAATTTAGAGATTTTACCAGATAAGTAGATCATATTGGGGAAGTTTTTACATACCTTCCGTACGTTGCATTTAGAATTCATGACTTTGGTATTCGAAATTGTTTCATAATAATATAATACAG